CCTCTCCGCGGGCAACAGCGCCCCCCAGCGGGGGGACCCGCGCCCCGCGGCTGCCCCCGGGGTTTCCGCAAGAACTGCTTTCTAAGCAAATGTTCGCTTTATCGGGAAATGTTTCCTATGCTTTGTTAAAATTTTCAGGGGTAACAAAATACACAGCGTTTTGCAGCAGGACAAAACGCTGGTAGGCACAGATCTGGCACGGGCCTTACAGGTCTAACAGGTTGGGAGGGAGAGAGGGAGCTTTGCAAATTTACATCTTTTCAACATATAGTCTCCTTGCGTTTAGGTATACTGAGATTCAAGTCTGGGATGTGAATTCAAAGAAAGGACATGGGCTTCTGCTCCTCACATCCCAGGTAAGCCGCTTGAACCCTGAGCCCGTAGGTGTGCTGGGTACTTGAGGAGGAAGGACATGTTCCTCTTCAGTTTTAATGAAAAACCTTAGCCTAAACACAAAATACTTTTCTTAACAGAACTAACACATTTCTTAATCAAAATACTTTCATATCAACACTCCACCTCCCTACCCAAGCTCCACTGAAAAACCTCTCCAGCCAGCACAGAAAGAAAGCTTAATCAAAGGGGGTTTAATGGATTCCCAAAAATGGCTAGGGATGGAAAGTTGCCAGCAAAGTAAATTGTTAATTCTCAAGCTTTACCTTCTCAGGATCAGTTTTTAAAATAATAACCATCAGGAAAAGATCCTAAAATTCTTTCATTCATAACTCATAATTCTGTAGTGAGGAACTGATTTACATCTTCTACAACTACACACATTCGTAATTTCTGGAGGAGTCAGAATGCAATACAGACACTTTTCAGATCACTATCATCAGAAAATCAGACTTAGGCAATCAGGTTACATGTTTAGCTACTGTTTGAAATCTGACTGCAGGGTAACAATGACAGAAGTATTTTGTTCATGTAATGTTATTTGAAAATAGGTTATTAGAGAAAAGAGGCCATTATTAACATTCTCATGACAGGCAATGTTGCAGCATGAGTTTTCATTTTCTAAGACACCAAAGAAAGGACGAAGACATTATAAATGCCTTCATTACAGGGAAATCTTCCACCAAGAGCCATGTTTTATTATATATCAGAAAACCTATTTCTCCATCAAGGTTTCTCTCTCATATCTTATAGATAAGAGCATTTGTAACTTTCCCTGATATTGAAGTATTTAATGTTTCCTTTTTTTGTATGGTGCATTCACCATAAAGAGTAATTGATAGAAAACTGGTTTATTTTGTTCCCAAGCTGACAAAACTGTTTCTCTTACAGGGCCCCAGGGAGTAGGAGTTCTGTTTCACCACCGATTCCTGGGTTGAGGCCCTTCTGTGTTGTCTGAGTTGATGTGTAAACTTTTGCCAGTGCTATCACTAGCTACAGAATCACTAAATAGTGCAAAAATGCTCTGCATTGAGCTAGTACATCATTCAGTACACACCACTATCATACACACAATCTACCATCTTTAGGCTTTCTGCACAAGATGAACAGTCTGAATGTATTTGCAGATGGCTAGAAAAAATCCTTTTTAAGTTCCAAGCGGAACATGTGGACACAAACACATGCCCTTTTGTGTGCGTAAGCCCTTGTATACCCAATTGTGTTGTACATTTCTAAGTCAAAGCCCTGTATCGTGCATTCACTTCAAATGCAGACAGGTCTGTGAGTCTGGCAATCCTTCATCTGAGTGGGGACTACTTTATTTTGGCTTTCTAGCATAGTTCTATTGTGTTACTAAATGCTGATACCAAGCAAGGAGGTGTCCTGTGCCCTCTGTTATGCTAGTAGACTTCTACATTATCCAAAACTGATGTTCAGCCAACGTTCAACACCATATGTATATACCTATAACACAAAGGTATCTATAGAACAGGCACCAAGTATGTAAGGTCTGCTTTGAAAAATGCAAATTTACGATGATTCTTATTAGACCAAGCTTCTCAGTCTTATTTATGTTCAGGGTGTCTCATTTTGCACATTTCTTTCCACTGACACCTCTCCAAGTTTGTGTCGCACAGTGCTTGTAATGTTAGCAGGCCAGGGAGAGCACAGCAGCTCACAATTCCCATAGCCATCCCTGCTCCAGCGAAGCAGAGAAGCTCAATAATGGCTTTTGTGTAAAGCTTCCACTGCTCTGGCTTTATTTCCAGGCACATGGGGTGTTCATCAGCTGACAAAGCTGGCAACACATAGGATTTAACACAACATGCTGTGCTGACTGCACATCTACTGTACTCAGGATGTACAGAAGGGTACAGCCTGAGCATATTTATTATTGAAGATAACACAGGTCAAAAACTGGGTGATCACGTCAAATGTACCACAGCAAAGCTTAGTTCCTTGCCTTACTCTGTGGTTAAAGGCTATTGATGAGATTACCAGACAGTCCGTTAAACAATCCAATTACCCAAGGTTTAGGAATGTGATACAGGAAGCTTTCCACCATGTCACTAGTTTGAAAGTAGCCTCACCTGGAGCCTTAGAAAATTACTCTGTCCTTTGAGCAGTTATTATTGGTACCTTAGTTAAAAGTCTCAGAGAAGACCCCTGAAATAACATGAATGGCCTTTTAGGCTCAGGAAAAGCCTATTTCAGGACAAAAGTAAAATGGAAGTTCGTGTGGCTATTTTACTTTTGTATTGTACTTGTTCTACAGATGAATAGTTGTGAAAAACAGTCTCAGCTCTCTGGATTCTCTGTCCCAAAGATTTACACGTATTCATGCAACAAGAAGTGAAACAGAACACATCACTCAGAACTCCAAGCAGGTCTCATGTTTATTGAAATATCTCAGGCTTAATAAACATGATGCATATGGCTCTTGCTGTAGCACATACCCTCACAACTGCTAAGTTAGCCACTTTGGATTCCTACCAAAACTTCCTTTCAGTGCACCAAGGTGAAGCGAATATGGCTGCTACAAATATAAAGCAAATTTAGAGGTCCTGCTAGGAATCACAGCTGAAGTATCACGAACCACTTATTCGTTAAACAAAACCTGCAGATTCCCTGAGTCTGAATTAGAAATAAAAAAAAAAAAACAACCCAAAACCAAAACAAACTTTTGGCTACGCATCTTTTTGCGATTTTTTTTTTTTTTTTTTTTACAAAAAAGTTTGCCTCAATTTAAAATTCAGTATTTTCTAAGCCATGTAGAAAAGACTTTTTCCTGTTGGGACTACTGACAGTGATCTGGGTTGAACTCCAACCATGGCACAGAAATTATCATCTGGACTGAGGCAACTGACTCTGGAGATTGTTCCTACATCTACATTTGGCATGGTACTTTTGTGCGATTCAGAGGAGCCAAAGCCCTCTGTGTAGTCAATGGAAAGAGCAAGGCACCTATACCACAGATAGTTGCAGCTCCAAAGTCAGACCCCTGAAGCAGACGTGAATCCTCTGCCCCCATTAAATGGGGGCCTATCCCCATTTTAAAGTGGAAACTGAGACAAGTGGAAACTTCTGTTAGTACTGCCAGGCTTCACTGGGGTGTTGTACAGTTCCTGAATACCATGGTGGCAAACACCATATAAGCAGCTAAAAGTTAAACAGATCTTCAAAGCAGCAGCTGATTAAGATGAAGAATCCAGGCAAATGGAGTCACTCAGGCTACAGAATTAATGCTTTGGCTCGTCCGCCACCAGTATTATACTGAGGGAGCTTGTTTTCTAGTGGTCAGTGCAAAGAAAACAAAGCACAAGTATGTTACATCATTCTCCCTGAAAGCCATAACCTATTGGCAAAGCTAACTGAAAGTGGCATTTCTTTTAACCGCTTCTCTTGTTCCAAGAATCTGCAAGGGCAAACAGTGATCCTTGTCCATAGCTGGTATGTGAAACGTGAAAGGCTTCAGGGACACTACTAAATCAAGAAAAATGCAGCAATGAGTCAGTCCTAAAAACTGACAGTGGTGATCTTCTCTGGCTTCATGAAAGTTCTTCTGGGCAATATTGAAAAAGAAAATCATCTGATGGAGCCAGCTTGTATGTGATGGCTAAATTAATAATGCAGCAAAAAGTCACTAAGTGCTTTTTAGAGTACCAGCACCACATGTGTGACTGCAGTACAAGGAGTACTTCTGAAAGGTACTCAGAAATGGCAACATACTGAGAAACAGCAGTGTTTTATGCACAGGGAAATGCTTATGGTTTTAATTGTCAAGCACCTGTGGTGCTGAATGGACTAACTTGTCTTTCAGACATGTCACTGAATTCATATGCATGTGACATAACCCTTTTGTGCAAAACCACACTACTGTTTTCTGACTACCATGCCACTGTGTGCAAAATCAGCAGGACAGAATGAGCATTTTTGCAGGGGAGAAAAATAATACTGAGAAAAACAAGCCAAATGTGAATCCAATTCAGCAGTCATTGCTAGCATTTTTAAAATGCACCATGAACAAACAATGTAGCATTATTGCCAGAAGAGCATATGTTTCAAAAAGACAAATTCCTGGTGAACTAATACTCTGAAATACCATGCTGGTTTAGACATACTTCCTAATCATGTTAATTATTTCATTATACATGCGGTAAGGTGCATCAAGGCCCCAGATGAAATCCAAATGTTCCCATTCTGGAATGTCCTTGTGGTAAACCAAGTTTGTGATCTGAGTGAGCAGCATAGCAACATCCTTTGGGTCTGCCAGCCAGTCCTGTCCGCCAGTCCACACCGCAGTTGGTACTGTCATCTCTTTTATTTTGTAGAAAGGGGGTGTAGACTGAGGAGGCGGAAAGTGAAAACAAAAGCATTAGAAAGAACAAGTCTTCAGTGTGATACTACACTGCAGTGTAACATACTAGCAAATGAAAGAAGAATGTGTCAGATTCTCATTTTCTCTTCCACTCTTGGGCAGCTGGAGATGAAAATGGAGTCCTGACCCAACAGAAAATGTAACTCCAAGAATCCTGCAATATTATAGCATGCATAGCAGTACAGACATGGTTTGAGGAGTTTACAAGACAGCAGGGTAGCGGAAGTCTTAGAGAATGCAGCCCATTCAAGTTACTTCTAAACCTTAATCAAATACTAAAAGTGACTGCTACTCTGAAAGTATGATACTGCAGTATTTCCCAGTCACTATAGTGACAAGGGGCAAAATATTTTTAGTACTGCACACAGCAATTTAGAAACAAACGTGTTGAGATTTAACAGCCTGAAAATGAGCAATACACAGAAACTGACAGGCTATGGCTTACTGTGAGAAGTGCAGTGGGATCTCATGATCAGGCAGGCAGGACTATCCTCAAGAAACAGTGTGCCATCACAACTTTGTATCTAAGTGTGGGCTCCATACTGACTTACGTCAGAGCTCTATAGTCTTTTTTTTTTTTTCTTCTTTTTTGAAAAACCAGATCTCCAGTCTAGTTACTGGGTAGCACTGGTGGTTCTTTAGCATGCAGCATAAACAGAGCACCCAGAGAAGCGCCCAAGGTCTTTTTTTGTGACACTCAAGAATTACAGCATATCCATAAAAGATGTTTACCTGGTTGTAGTGAGCCATATTTGCAGCCTTGCTTCCCCAGTCATAAGCTTTAAGTTCCCCAGTCTTCACAGCCTAGAAATAAACAAATATTCACACATACAAAGAAGAACTGCAACAAATTATCATAGAAATAAAAACATATAGGTCATCTGGAGAATTGGCAAAGGCAACTGACACAAGAAACAGCAAAATGCCAGGTATTAATACGGACAAGTGCCGCTACTTTGCCCAGTGTCACAGGAGTGGGAAACACTAACATTTAATACCCTTAGACTTTGTCCCTTAAGATTTCACACACTTTCATAGCAATGGTAGGAAAGATTAAGGAAAACAGTTTAGTGTATCCAAAGCCAGGATGTGGCACCTCCACGCTTACTTCTGAAATATTTACCTTGCTGTCCCCATGTATATGAGCACAGCATGGAGCTTTCTTAGAAGGCCCACTCTGTATGATTTACCACCTATTATTTTTCATAAACAGAAGCCTATATAACAGGGATCTGGAAAGAAAAAAATCTTCACAAATTTCTTTACAAGCCAACCACTGAACAGCTATGTACAGCAGAACACAGTGCTTCTGAACAGGTGACCAAGTCCAGCTGCAAGACCACAAGTAGCACTGGCCACTGTTTCCATGGCAAGAGAATTATTTGTCAGCCTGCTGAGCAAACTTCAGACACAATAGCATTACAGGCATGAAACTGTGCATTGAGGTGAAATTCAAAATATGCTGATAAAATATAAAATTAAGCCAAAAAGAACAGAACAGAACAGAAAGCCTGATGCTTTTCACTGGCTAAAAACAGAACTTGTAATCAAAACAGGGTTTGCCAAAAGGGGAGAAAATACTTGTTACAGCATCTCTCTGAATTATGTTATTCTGTTGTATTGTTTGTTGGCCTGAATTATTTACAGTTAGCATATCTTCAAAGAAATAGAGGAGAGGAGTGAGCCACCACCAGTTAGTATCATCAAATCACCGCAGTGAACAGCTGCTGTTCTGACAATTGGCAGTTCCAGAATTTCACTTGGGCTATGCTGCATATACATTTTGGCATTTTGTTCCATTTAAATATCAGAGACACCAATATTCTACCAATAATATGGACATTTTAGAATCTGGAAACTCTACCTGGCTCCAGTGGATCATGTTTTGTACAGATGTCCCTGCAGGGCAGTGTGTTGAATACACATCCACTCGGCTCTGCAACAAGATAATTAACATGGTTTACTTCTCATAGTGCAACAGTTCTACCCATTATTGCTTCTTGAACAACTAATAGAAAATTTTCCATTCCTTTAAAACCGCTATAAACAGAAGTTAACTGGAACCATATATACAGATGAGGTAAAAGGTTCAAATGCTTGCAGGATTAATTATAATTAACCACAGAACTTTAAAGGTGAACTTTAAACCCAATAATGATACCCCTCAAGCATTTTTCATATATTCAGAATATGTTTTTAAAAGTGATAATATTGTAAGAAATGGGAGCACATTAACTAATATTTAGATGGACCTCCAGAGAAACCTTGTGTTACTCTACATCTAAACTAGGAGCTATCAGTCCAACATGATTCAGAACTTCATACACTCTGAGTTTAGAAGTACAAAATACCCAGGGGAAGCTTAAATCCTGTCAGAAAAAAAAATATTATCTACCATTAAAACCATGAAAACTACATGTGCTGGGCAAGAAAACATCAAAAACCTGCACTTTCACCTTGGCAGGAAATACAAAAAGTGTACATTTTTGCACACAGAATGGTCAAACAAATAATGCTCATTCTATCTCACTCCAGTATAAAAATTCTCAGCCATCATCCATCTGTGAGTAAACTGATACCAGCTTCTACTGATTTCAGGGAATTAGAAACACTTTAAGAAGCATTATGAAAAAAGGCAATCTCACACCAGTTGCTGTTAACTAGCTTATGGATAACTATCAACAAGTCCTTTGGAACTGGGATCACAGAGGAAGCCATCAGCAAGGTCAGAAATTGGTCCCAGGGAAAATAATTGCACACCTCCACCAAGAGGCCAGAAAACTTCAACAGTTGTCTCCAATACGGTTGAAAATGGTACCTTTATGCCTTACTTTCTTGAAAAAGGAATTAAATGCTTGCACCATCATATTAATTCCATTCTCTTACTCACTTCCCCAACAGATCTAAAATAATGTATTTTAGCTTTCCAGTAACATTTCAAAAGGTTAGTTCTATCCACCCCAACTGGGCAACAAATCTATACCAAGGAAAGACATTAATCCAAACTCAGTAGGATGAAGAAGGCATTAGGGGTTTTCTAATTACATGTAAAAGACAATCAGTACAGTGATACACAGCCAATACTGTGTTAGAGTTCACAACAACTTAGCTATTAAAAGTCAGTGGAACACACCATATTCAAGTTTCTCTCATTAAAACCGCACAGAAGAAAGAATACGTTGCCGCAAAGGTCATCAAGTATTCTGTGGGTGCAAACATGGGTAGCAAGCCACTTCAGCAAAGAACTCTGAGGGAGGAATTGTTTCTTTCCAAACACGTCCTAAAAAATAACACATAGGACAAACATGTAATTGCATAGAATGACCTGGGTTTAGTTTTTACATTATAACATTCTCGAGATAATTATTTCCATTTGCACTGGCGACAGGTGTGTCATATAAAAATGATTTATCTCTTTACCAGTCTTGTTTACAGTCCAAAGGGAAAGTCACTGTTAGTGCTTCTGCTACAAATGATGCAGTCCATTATCCCCACAGAAAGTACCTAGGCACTGGGACAATCTTTCAAGAATTCCAAACCTAACCTCAAATTCAAAACAATGTTAAATTCAGTATTTTACAGGAATACTGCACAGCCTCTTGTCAGCAGAAGAGCTTAAGGCAAAAATATGTCAAGCTGCGCCTGCCAGTATTAAATGGCTTTGTACTTGCAACTTCCTCTCTTCAAACCACGAAAGAAGAAAGAGTTGCATGAGCTGTGGTGGCCACTTCCTCTTCATGCATATTTTTAAAACAGCCATGGATTTGAAAATGGCCCACTGAGAATGTCTTTAAAACTGACACAGCTCTTTAAAGGTATGCCTGACCCATAGCTTTGTCATGTACTTCTGCATTCCAGTTTTTTGCAAGTCACCATGAGAATCAAGCTCCTCAGCACAACACGAAAATCTGCACAGGGCACTGACCAGCTACTATCCTCATTAGACAAAGTTCATTACATGAGGAACAGGAGATTACAATTGTTTAATGTTATGTCTTATGTCAACTGCCTTTGGAGCAGGGAACTAAGAATGCAGACACGCATTAAATCTGTACAAGGTGCATTAGAGAATGGTTTATCTCACAGAACAAACAGCTCTGCATGGGTGGTGGAAAGAAAAGTGATAGTTAAAAGTGACATACACTAGGGTGTTCACAATATCTGACTTCAGGCACTTAAGGCAGCCTGCCAGTCTGCCTACATTCCCTTTGATGTTAATGGGGGAAGGTAAACTCATCCAGAGGATGATTCACAGCATCTAAATAAAGCTGCTGCTTTAATAACCCTCTGAAGGATCCTGTTCCAATACTAAATGGTTAATTGTGAAACAACTCTGTGCAAGTTCATGACAATTCAGAAGCATTCTGTATAAGCTATCATATGACTCTTCTAAAACCGACCCAACTAATTAATCATGTGATTTCTGTAGCTCAAATTCTAGAAACATGTAAATGGAAAAACATAACTTTATTCCATCTATTAAGTTGTTATTGTAAAACACTACTTTAAGCTCATGCAAATTGTCTCATTAGACAGTAATAAAAACAGAGAAGCCACTGCTGACTTCCAAAGCATTACTATGGAAAAACTGGTCCAGTATTCTCCTCAAACATGTTAATCTCTAATCCACAGCTATTAACATTCTTTGCTATTCTGTTTTCCACTAGAAAGGGGGACATTTCACTTGGCTTAAAACATTTACTCTCAAATACAAACCTGGAGTAGCAGGTCAGGAAACACTCCCAATTTTGTCAGAGGGCTAGTGGCAAACTTGACTGTAGCTACAGGTGCCAAGGCAAAGAACATTTTGATTTTCTCAGACAGCTGTGGCAAAGTTGAAAAAGCAATGAAAGCTGCAAATAAAATTAGAATAATTAACAAACCTCACTGACACAAGTTAGATGAGAATTTTACCTTGCAGTGATGCTGTAAAATCTAAGGTAAAGTTCACAGAAGTATTTTTGAATTAATAGTTTGATTGTTGTATCTAGGATTAGTTTAGATACTGTCATTTAATCTAGTTACCACAGAACACAAATTAAATTATGCAAATCAGGAGGATTTGTTTACTTCTGAAAAACAAGTTCATGATAAATAACCCAACACTCTTCCAGCTCTTTCAATTTGCAGGTCTAAAAACCTGCCAGCCCTTATATACAGCAAAATATTCTGGAAATGGGAATCTTTATTCTACATGTCTGATGATTCTAATTTTATTATGATAGTTCATCAGTTTATTTTAATAGAAACTGTACTGGTGGCTACTTGTGACTTCAAAGTATTGTTCCAACAGCTTCCCACTTTAAGTAAACACAGAAAGGTTAAGTCCTTTCATTTTAATGTTGATGAATATTCCAAGAAGCAGCTAAAAACCAGAAGCAGTAGATTTCAAAAGCCCTATTTTTTCCATCATTAAACCACATATGTGGAACTTGATACCATTTCAAACACAATACATTCTAATGAGTGCATCTCTTGACATACCCATTGTGGTGCCCTGTGAATGGCCAACATAAAATACTTGCTCCTGGCCAGTTTTCTTCAAAATGAAGTCCACTGAGGCTGGAATGTCATACTTAGCCATTTCATCAAAGCTACAAAGCGAAGATAAAAAGTCAGTTGTGTAAGTGAAGTTATCAGCATGGAACAGCTGCACAGAGCTTTACTGCACTGCAGATCAGTTGTCTGGACATAAAGAAAAGCTTCCTTTGGATGCAGCAGGACACTCTGGTGATTGAGTCTTTACATCAAGCACCGGTGAAAGCAATTAACATTCTACTGAGAATCTATGAAGGCTGACTCAGGACACTATACTGATCATAAAACTCCCTTTTACTGCCCCTACATATGTGACAGCACATGTAACCAGAAAAAGAATAACTTGTACATTCACAATGTGACTGAACTGAGATGATGGACAAAGAGAGGAAGAGAAGCCTGCTCACAAACAGCATGTGTAGTTTCTCTAGTTATTCTTGCAAGATGAGGATACCTGAAAACCCAGAATTCTTCTTGCTTCACTGTGAAGTGTGTATGTTTCCTGGACCAGGTGTTCCCTCTGCTGTTTCCCAGCCACACATCATAGCCAGCATCTGCCAGCATAAAGCCAAGGCTGTTGTAATCCAAGTTTGTAATCCAATTGCTGGCATCTGCAAGCAAACCATGCTGCAGAAACACAGCAGGCCTTGGACCTGAAAAATAAAGCATTTATCATAGCTTCCTGTTCATCTGGAATTGAATGCCTAAGAACAATTCAAGTGAGTTATTGAAAGTCTGCATCAGATTTGCACTTTGAATATTTAATATATTTGACTTAATCTACTAAAGTTAGCAATTTGTATAATATTCATAGTGCCGTGAAAGCACATGTTGTCACAAAAAGCTACATTTCATCATTAAGAATTTTAAACTAGCAACTTGTTAGTTTCCTAACTAGAGCAAAAGACCCCTTGAAATTCAAAACAGACAGCAAATGTGCAATAAGCAAACATGAGAAAAGCAGGAGCTACAAGAAAAATACAGGTAGCCCTTACAACGGTTTCAAGTTCACAAATATTCAGCAAAGTGGCCCAAACACAGAGACAGCCTAACTACTTATGACTCTTCCCCCCTAAACCTGTGGAAGGCTTACCCATATAATGTGCTACTGAGATCTTTGTTTTCCAGTTAAGACAATGCCAAACTAGGGTGTTGAGCTGCAGAAATCACTGCAACTGGTACTGACATTATCTCTATGCAACTCCAAAGCTTAGGCAGAACCGGAAGAGCAATATGGGTGACCAAGAAGGGAATCTGTGTTTCAAAGGACTTTCTCCCTTTGACTTAAGTAGTTAAAAGAAGAACAGTCAAGACCCAGGTGGAATTTAGGAAGCCCCTCTCCTGAAAAGGGAAATCACGCCTTTATGTGGAATAAAGACAAAAAAAAAAAAAAATGAAGGTTCCTCCTGCTACATAAAGAAAATAAATTAACATATAAACCTTTAGGAGGAACATGACCTTCAAAAAATTCAATGACCTGTCTCTGGATCTCACAGTAACACAGGTGTTTTAGGGTTTTTTTCTGCAATCTGCTCTGTTTTTTATCTGAAACCTGATAACAAAGTAACTTTAGCTCAATGCCAGAGATTACTCAGGAATTCACCTCCTCCAGTGACACATCATTCTACTACAACATTGAAGTCATGCAATACTTCCTCCATTGATAATTTAGACTTGGATCTTTTAGCAAAAACAGCCAAAGCACAACTGTTTCAGTCACCTACACCCGCCATTCCAGGTCACGTCCATAAATGTTTGCTGTGAGTTCCAAAATCCAAAGTAGCAATATTCCTTAATATTCCTTCCTCCTGGCAACCTTTATACCTGTGATGAAGAAACTTTTCAGTTCCTGCTTTTCACATTTTGCAAAAAAACCAAAAAAAAAACCAAACCCATGTTGTGGCATACTGGCATAAACTCAGATCAACCAACTTCTGACTTTTTGAAGAACATGCTCTCCTCAAGCTGCTACTCGCATGTTTCATAACATAGAAAGGGAAAAACTTCAATGCTTTAATTCTGTTCTCCCATTAGCCTCCAATTTTTGCCAGTTCCTTTTTCACTTTAGCAAGAAGTCACCAGATCTGCACATGAATTGCACAATCATATGACAAACTCACTGGGACAATAACAATTTTGCATCACCTCTGATCCTATAAACCCCAGAGGGGCAATAAGAAAAGTAGGTCCTTAAACTACCCTTACCACACAGAACACTTTGTTGTGTTCCCTGTACCCCCAAGAAGTTGAAGACAGACTTATTTCTTATTTCTTCTGGCATTTTACTTTTTTTTTTTTTTTTTTTTTTAAGCTGAAGAACTGTAGGTTTTGTTCCAAAACATCACATGATACATAACTCTAAGGGATCCTATTCACATTAAGCGGGTATTGCAAAAGAAGAATTATGGCATATATACACTAAGTCAGCAGTAACACATCATTGGTATCTTTCTGAGAAAAGATACCAAGTCTATAAAAACTTAAGATCAACATGAACTTTGAAATCTTCGTTCTTCTAGGAGATCATACTTCCTCAAATATGCTCACTAATCCTTGTTTTTAAAATTAAAGCACTTTGCAAAACATGAACTTGGGGTCGAGGGTGTGACAAGGGGAATGTGGAGAATTCCCACAGGTCAGGAAACTTCTGTTTGCTTATGTCATCGATGAAGGATTCAACAAAATCAACAGGTACAAAGGCAGCCTGTCTTTTTCCTGTGGGCTTCTCTGAAATTCTTAAGTACAAAGACACCTGCCAGGTTTGACTGGCCTTGTCCCTGCACTGATCTTTACACACCCACCTTGTAAGAGACAGCGGGCAGTGCAAACATCCTAACTCATACAAAATCAACAGTTAAGGTCAGGAAGACTGTTGCTTGGCCTTTGGCAGAAGATAAGTTGTTCCACAGGTCTTATGCACGCCCAAGGCTATAGGACGATCACTGATTTATTTCGTGAGCACCATGTTTTTACCTCTCATCCTAGGTTTTTTCAGTCCAAAGGGTTCTGAGGTAGTCCTTAGAATATGTACAGTATCTATGGAAACAGGCTGCTGTTGTATGCATGCAATTATATGTACGACCTTTTATAAGGGGTGGCAACAACATTGATAATAAATTCAGCCACTGCTGTTCAGATACACCGTTAATTCTTTATGCAGTGCACGAGGATAGCAAGCCAAAGGCTATGTTTCTCTCCTCTCCCACATACATTTGTCTCATTTTTAAAGCATTCCATCATTCAGTCCTTGCAAAAACCTTTGCCCGTGTTGCTCCCTTAAGTTTCAGCTTACACTTCCTATCCTTTCCTTCCCCCACCTCCTCACCTGTACACCCCCTGCATCCCTTCCATGGTTTTATACCAGCTTTCACAGTAAATCTTACAGCTTGTAGGTGGCACACGTCAATGCTCCTCCCAGTCCCCCATGAAATCACATCCATAAAACCACCTGCTCTGGGCTGCCTGTTGTCAACTAGCTGTTACATATCCTAATCTACAATATATTTTTAAATGTATTGTACTCAAAATGTTCTGAAGACGTTTTATCTTATTATATTGTTCTATCTATTTAAGCAGATGTGTAAAATATAACATCTCAGTAGTATGCAGTATTGGTATGGCTTGTACCCTACCAAAAAGGGAGCTTTAGAGAGGTTAAAATTAACAAACAAATTCCTATTGTATGCAGAAAGCAGGTAGCAACTATTTTGTGAACGTTCTAGTGGGAACTCTTGTAGTTTAGTTACATTTCACCGAAAGAGGCATGTGAACTGCCCCTACTTCTGAAAACTGTCAGGCATTTTTAACAAACCTACTTGTTATAAAAAAAGCATTTTTAAAACAGGGGCACAAAATAACCCAACAGTGTTACAATCCATCTCTTTTCAAGAGACTTTATTACTTAGAAAAACACAACAAATCTCAACCATATTTTCCACTTACTCAAAAATCCAGGCCTCTCAGCCTCTCAAAAAATCAAAGAACAAGGAAGCGCTTGTATTAATGTCACAAAAAGGTAATGCCAGGAAAAAATAGCTTTCTAACTCCTTCTCCCTTCCTTTACTCACGTCACTCTACATTTGCCTAATCTATTTTGGCCATAACATTCACTGATAAAACATTCTAACTGCATAAGTCATATAGTCATTAATCTCCTTCTCGATTATTACAGGAGCAAAAGTTTTATAAATCAAAGATAGCTTTTTCATGACTGCCCTTTCTTCCAAGCAGACATCTTACCTTTGCTCCTCTCACGGCTTTTTCTTCCATAAGGAATTCTATTAACAGAAAGGATATACCCATCTTCTGTTGTCACTTCATACTCCTCACTAGGGTATCCCCTGAAGGTAATAATTTGACTCTGAAGAAAGAAAAGAAACCACCCTGGAGTCAGACTGCTAGCCTCCTCCCATCATTAACGTGCAAAATACTCTGGGTTCTTTCCAAAGACAGTGATGTGAAATTAAAGGATGTGGTAGGAATGTGCCATACCACCCACCTATTGAATGCAGTCAGGTTTTCTTATGCGATTTACTCCAGTACAGAGTCAGGAACTGGTGAGAGCACAAACCTTAACCCAGGAATTCGGGAGGACTCCCTAGCCTGTCTTCATCCACTGTCATATTAGTTACTCACTTGCTGCTTACAGTCAGAAAGGAGACTAAATTGTTGGAAAGGAAATTATGATAACAGGACAAAACAGCAAGATGTGGATCTGTCAGACAAAAATTGAAATTGTCTGCTCCCACGGAGAGCAGTATCTTCCAGTAACAAATGAGCGAGGACTGCAAAAAAGCCACTGGCACCACAGCAGCATATGGAGGGAAAAGAAGGAGGGAAGAGTTCATCTCTCCTGAAGGGAAAGGCTTCTTTAAAAATATTTCAGATTTGCATCTGAGCTTTATGCCTAAATCTCTGTTATACAGAGGACACAACCATATTTAGGCCATGTGCTGAAATGAGCCACAAACACAGCAGCTTTAAAAAACTGGGGTCACACTCTTCATATATGCAAGCTGCTGACATTACCACCCTAGCTCATACTTTCACGTCCCATTTCTTATTCACCTTTCTCCTCAAACTTTATGTCTCTTGCCCACACTTGTTTAATGCTATGATTTCATTAACAGGTTTATCTCCCATCTCTTCTGTCTCAGGCTTTATGTTATTTTCTTTTGATGCAACTCGACTAGGACAGGGAACTTGCCATTTAACTGGTTTTATGACACCCACCATGCTTTAAGAAAGTGTAAGAAATACAAGACATGATCAGAGTTCTACTCTTAGGCTGTTGGGCAAGGAAGAAAAGAAGCATTTAACTAAACATGCTATTTCTTTTAAATAGATCTTTAATCATCCACAGTGACATTAACATTCCAAAATTATATTAAGGCTCATTCCATTCAAATGCTACTGGCCTTAGACTAAATGACTGTTTTCGGTCCTCTAAATTATATGTAGATGATACTGATGACTCAAGCACTTATTTTCTTATAGACTTTAAGCACTTCTAGCTTGAAGTATCTTCTCGCACATATGAAAAAAATGGCACAGTTTAGATGGCGGAGAGGAAAGAGCAACTAATACCAGCTACTAACAGCAAATATTTTCTGCAGTTGGCTGTTGCAGGAGAAGGAGAATAAAGTTAAGAGAGTAAATGCCAAATAGGAAGAAAAACAGTGATGAATAAGAACACAGGAGCATCGTGCTAGCAGCACAAGTATGCTTCATAAACATGCTCCTTTCTATCAGTTAAGCAAGAGAGTGACCAGACTTTAGGAAAAAACGCAGGTCTGGACTGCCAAATATGTGAGAGAGATCAGCCACAGGCAAAAGGGGACCAAGAAGGACCTGGAAGGAGGAGAAGAGAAGGACGAGGTGTAAGCAGAGGGTGCAGACGGCAGCAGGCTGGCTGCTGGCCAGGGGCTGAAGTTCCCCGGGGCTCCCACCGCCCGCCGCCCGGGCCCCTCCGCTCCTCTCCTCGCCCCGCT